TCTTCCTACCTTAATTAGTGTTCAATGACCGGAGACAAAGAGCAGGTGAGGGGGGCGGGTGCCCTGCTGTCGTTCGCTCTCTAGTCTTTTCCCATTATGCTTGTTTTGTTGTCTCGTTATATGTATACATATATGTATATGTACACACACACACACACACACACACACACACACACACACACACACATATATATATATATATATATATATATATATATATATATATATATATATACATATATATAAATATACATGTATAAACATATAAACATATATAGATAGAGAGATACATATAGATAGAGAGATACATATAGATATATAGATATATACACACATATATATATAAACAGATATGTACATACGCACACACACACATATTTATGTACGTATGTATATGTATATGTAAGCATATGTATATATTTATGTAATATATAAAAATAATCATATATATGTATATATATTATATCATATATATATGAACACATACACGTGCGCGCGCACGCACATACACACACACACACACACACACACACACACACACATATATATATATATATATATATATATATATATATATATATATATATCATTATATCATTATATAATATACATATATATGTATATAAATATATGTATGTGTGTAAATATTTATCTTTCTTTCATTTCATCTCTCATAAATGTTTAAGATAATAATTATCCTGATTCACAATATCAAGAGGATATCGACACACTTTCCGTTTTATAATATTTATAAAAAAAAATCAACAATCTGTCTCGGTTCTTTTCACTTAACTGCCGAATCATCCCTTTATCTCTAACTCTAATATATTCATATCTAACAGTACTAATTATAAAGTCATTATCTTTTATAATTAACATTGTTTCGTTCAGGATTGTTTCGTTCAGGGCCAGTCTTGATCAAGCATAGTATCCATAAACGAAAGTGCAGAGAGCCAGGCAGGTGACGGCGTTAATGTCAAGCATTCTGCGGGCAAGAAAATACAGACATTTAGCATGATTCAAAACATTTAAAAGAATATATATATTTTTTGTTATGAAGTATAAATGTGCAGAAAATATTGTATATATTGTAGTAATTATCGAAGGACTAACGACATTCTAACAGAAAGAAAAAATACATTAATTTCGTATTCTTCAAGTTTCTGTTTAATATTTGCGGTTACTTCCTCGTTGTTGTGGTAGTTAGCAGATGTTGAACTATACACAAAAGCGTAGTCATTTTTTTTAACGATTAGCAAAAACATTCACGAACTTTTCCTTACAAGGATAACTTCATGTTACAATTTAGAGGTATTCTAAGACTATGATGAGCCCGAAATAGCCCCTTAAGAATTACGAATTACAGATTCTGCTTTCTATCCACGTGGCAGTTGTGCATTCAGCTTCTTTAGTATAAAATCTTGACTAAGTTAATACGGTGTAATAGTCTGTGTTGTCTTTGAGTTTACGGCCATGCAGGATGAGATTTGGTAAGAAAGAAAAAAAAAGAAAGAAAAGAGGAAAGTGAAATAATTTGTTGCATCTATATTCGGTGAGAATAAAGCAAAATATTTTCCTGCATCGGGTCATTTTATGCAATTTGCAGGTTATTATCCTTCTATTACACTCTCTGAAGTTATGAAAAATGTAAAATATTTTATGAACTATTTTATCTCTAAACCCAGAAAAACATCGCAAACGATCTCTTTATCAAATTCTCGAAAACCTAAACACATCGATATTGACGAAAATCTTATAACAAGGGGATTTCTTGACTTTCCACTCTATAATATGCACTCATTACAATCCAGAAGAAAAAGGACGAAACGCTGAAACGATTTTTTTTTTTAATTGATAGTCTCGTTATAACCTACCACTGCCATGATATAAACACCATGCCACTTACCGTTTCCAGGATGGAGGTTCGTCGATGATCTTCACCGCCTCCTTCGCCTGCTCCTCCTCATCAAGCACTGGCGGCGCCCCTGTGTTCTCCTTGCCCTTGGCTGGGGCACCACACAGAACTCGCTGCCAGCAGGGTTCTGAGATGCGAAACAGTGAATGAGTGTGATGCATATACTATTAGCCTTGATATTATGACGAATCCACAAGGAGATTAATTGCATGATGTCTAACCTATCATAGTTATTCGTTAAACCAAATAGAGCCATGTAACGAAATGACTAATGCCATTGCAGTGTTTGTGTAAGTATGCACGCGCACACATGTCTTGCTTCGCATTCAAAAGTCTTTGCATTACATGCTATTGCCGAGCAGCGGGGGAGGTGATCGGCCCTTTGCATTTGCTCGCGCCCTACATCTACCCCATGTAAACAATCATCTTACAGTAACTGTGACGTAACTTACTCTCGTCCGTCTCGTGCGTCGCCATGGAGTAGGTCTGGTCGCCTGCTGTCTCCTGGCCGAAGTGGTCGTCGTCTCCTTTCACTATATTTCTGACGCGGGGGTCGTGGCGACTCCAGAAGGTTAGGCGATACAACTGCAGAATAAGAGTCGTGAAAAAGGGCCTCCGTCAGTCTACAGCTACGGATGCTGCATTCAGGTACATTGAGTATGGACAGTCTTAAAAATATCTTTGGACAGTGATATAAGCATACAAATTGTCTTATGCCTTGCTATATATACACTAGATGTTTATTTCACTTCAGCAGGATAACTGGCATCGATACCTTCAATGTCAGTAAAACCTCCCCTTTAACAGGTCATCAAAAACCAACAGTATTTCTTTCTTTTTACTTCTCCGAAACCCATTTAGCAAATGGAGCAACGTCGATCTGATGTGATGTGACATTTCGCAACAGTCAAGGTTGCAAATATGTATAACAGTGAAATGAGATTCGAGGCTGAAAACATTCAGTTCCGGAATTCTCCATTCATATTTTTTTCAGTCAGGGAAAAAGGTACCTCGATATTGCCATGGAAATACAGGTAGTATTCACTAAGATGAAGATACATTCACACACATAGGCCGTAGGATGACACACGGTCTCCCCCGATATATTGTTTGACATTATCAATTGGCAATACATTTCGCTTAATTATGTATGCAGTTCGATATATTTTTTTTGCCTTTTTATTCATGTTTACTTGATTTGTGGAGTTATTTCGCCTAATATGTGATTCTTAGGTGGCATTTTTCGCTTACCATCAGTACATAATTATGATTCATAGCTTTTAAGAATATCGAAAGATCCTTATGAATGTAAATAGATTTCACAAATGGAAGTGGTTTCCAAAGATGTAGTACAAAATCTACATACTCGCTTGTATAATATATATAATATTAATTCAGTAATATACGCATTCAACTCAAGTTCTGTCCGACAACATCCATGCAGCTTCTATCATATCCTCGTTCTCACGGGACCCAAGTTTTCCTTCGCTTATTAACTACCATCACTAGCATAAGTTAGGCACCCGAGCGAGCCTGGACGTGCACCGGGCTCATCCTCAGGAGAAGGAGGACGTCCTCTTTCGAGTATTAAATTATCTCCACTTCCTTTCTCAGCATGATGAATAATAAGGACCATAAATCTACCTTTGCAAAGCAATATACAGTCGTACATTACAGGGGACAAGAACTTATGAACTCTACTACATTCCAATACAGCTAGGCTTAATATACAAGTGCAAGAGAGCATATAAAAGGCAAGATATTGTGAAAATGACCAGACACTTGTTTTAATACTCACGTAGTCTTTTGGCCGAGGCGGCGTGGTAAGTGACACACAGAAGATAACCAGTATTGTGAGGAAAAACAGCAGGCAGCAGAAATGGAGGTAGTGAAGACGTCTCAGGAAGGTGGTGATGATCGCTGGTTCCGCGTAATTCGCATCTGGAGGAGGAGCCTTTGAGCGAAGAGTGGGGTAACAGAAGGCACAGATATGTATTTGTATATAGATATACGTGTGTGTGTGTGTGTGTGTGTGTAGGTGTGTGTGTGTGTGTGTGTGTGTGTGTGTGTGTGTGTGTGTGTGTGTGTGTGTGTGTGTGTGTGTGTGTGTGTGTGTGTGTGTGTGTATATATCGGTAAATCGTATATAAAAACCTCAGGCACGTGAGACATACTCACTACATACCTAAACCGCAAGGTGGTGGAGTGTATGTGAACTCGAGGGCGAAACGGAAAACCCCAAGAGCCAGGCCAAACATGAGACCCCAGAAGGCGCCCTAGGGAAATAGGAGGGAGGAAGGTAAATGAGGTTGTTGGAAACAGGAGAAAGGAAAAAAGAGTAAGATGAATGGTAAGGAGTAAGGAGCATTAGAAAGATGTATGACATGGTGAAACATAGTAGAAAGAAATATCTACAATAACTAATACTACGCAAAAGGTGCCCTACTTGAGCCAATAATAACATGTTTGAAGTGACTCACAGCTTCTGTTGTGCGGTTCCAGAAGAGTGCCGACAGGTACACGGCGCAGATAGGAGGCGCCAGGAAGGAATTGATGGTGTTTATGTAATCGAAGAGTTCAGATGTGGCGTTGTTCCTGGCGGTGGACGATAGACGTTAATGTTATTTGTTATCTTGCACCAACAAGATATTTAAAGCAGTGGGAGAGAGTTCAAGGCATAAAAACTGGAAGACTTAAAAATACTGAGGCCCAATGTATTTTATCACTCCGGGTTACGTTATGTTGGTAAAGGGATCGTAGAAAAACTAATCGAATTCCGAGAAAGAGGAGGCAATATTTATCACCCAAAACAGGGATTTAACACAGACAACCTTTATCGATACATTTGCACTTTTACGGTTAACCATCCACTCACTGAATGACCGGAATCCAGACCACGCTGATGCCCACCATGGCCGCCACGAAGATCCTGGCGACGACGACCAGCTCCACGTCTGACGGAGGGGCCGAGAGCCTCCCTCCCTCCCGCCCGCGCCTCCTGCACATCCGCCGCAGATGGAGCCAGACGTCCATGGTGAAGATGGTGGAGGCGGAGTTGAACACGGAGGTGAGCGAGGACATGAGAGCCGCCATCATAACAGCCAGCATCAGTCCCCGTACGCCTTTGGGGAGATGAGGCGTCAGGGCGAGCGTGAGGAGGAACAGGGAATTGCAGGATGATGGGACGTGGAGCTAACGATATGAATGAATTTGAGAAAGACACAGCGGGGAGATGGTGATTAATTCGATGTGTTTGCAAATGTTTTTTTTTTAATATTTATGATGTGTTGATCAGCTGGATGATCCATCAGTATCTCTTTTTTATATATGCATGAAATGATACAGCGATGTAAGTCTATAACTCAACACGCATAAGAATCATACGTCCATCCCACACACACACACCTGCGCCCTCCCATTCCTCACCCACACACCGCCCCCCGCCCGCACTCACCCACACTCACACTCAGCCACCCCGACCCCTTCCATACTCACCTGGACTTTTCGCACTCACCAACGGGCAGGAGGTTCAGCACCAGCTCAATGTAGGCTATGTTGAAGCACCCCCTCTCGCTGCCACAGATCCGGGTACAGGTCTCCGGAGAAGCGCAGGCCACTCGGTCCGGGTACAGGATCCTGGCCGCCATCCCGGGAAACACGATCAGGAACATCGGCAGGAACTTGAGGTAGGCGGCCAGGAGGCAACCGCCCTTCGCGTGGACCACGTTCCTGCTGGCCAGCGTCCTTTGCACCATCACCTGCGGAGGGAGTCGATGGGTGGGGCGTCATGGCGGGGGGGAGGGGAGGGGGGGGGGTCGATGGGGAGGGACGTCATGGCCTGGGGGGGGAGGGGGAGGCGATAGGAGAGAAGGCATTAGGATGGGATGGTAGTGATGATGATAGAGTGATGGTAGTTATAATGCTAAAGATAATATTAGTAATAGTGATAGCGATAATGATGATCATAATGACGACGATGATGATGATAAGATGAAGATGAGGATGACGATTATAATGATGATGAGGACGAAGATGATGATAATGGCCAGTAATATTATTATGGTTGTTGTTATCAATACCATTATCATTCTTATTATTATCATCATGACTCATTATCATTACTGTAAAGAAGATAACGATAATAAGGATAATATAATAAAAATGATGGTGATAATAACAATGAGGATAATAGCATTGATAATAATGTTGACAATGATGATAAGGATCATCATCGTTATTACAATAACGATAAATAATGACAATAATAAATAATAGTAACGATAACGATGATGAAGATGAAGATGGTGATGGTGATGATGATGATACTTATTAGTATCATCATCAATAAAAATAATTGTAACAATAATATTGAAACTGACAATAGCATTAATGACATTAAATAAAAGGGAAGGATAATTTAATCACCATTTTTTTACAACTGATATTACTATTGCAATTATTGTCATGTTACGGCCTGACAATCAAGTGCGTGGTAGCTTATCAAAATATCCCGCCCCTCGCTGCAACAAAACCGTAATGGTTAGTGGCACCTATATCGAGCCAATATATGCAATATTGTCTGCCAGGACACTAAACCGGTGTCAATAATCGGCGTTGCAGCATATCCAGGTTCTGGTTTATGCAAGAGCCGCCTAACGTGAACATGTCTAGCACCCTGATGCCTGGTGTTGGTTTACACGGAACCTGTTTCCTCTCTCGAAACAGGTGTGTCTCCGCCACACAGCCCCGGACCATTCAAAAATGCCTTCAGTATATTTAGATTCTAATCGACGTAAACATTACATTTTGCTGATGAACTCCACGCACTTACAACCTCAGGCATCCATTTATAACCACAGATATCTTTTATAATTCCAGATAACTTTTTATAACACCAGGTATCTATTCATAAACCCAGGCATTTTTTTTTATAATACCAGATATCTGTTTATAACACCAGGTACCTATTCATAACTTCAAGATAACACAAGCAACTATTGAGAAACAAACTACCCAACACTTCTCGGTTACCGTCTGTCGCGCCACACCTACCTGGTCCATACACCAGTACCACAGCTCGAGGATGCCCAGTCCCAGGGTCATCCCAACCCAAGGGTAATTGGACTTCCCAGGTTCAAGCGTTCTGAGCAGGTGCATGAAATCACTCGGCGGTTCTCCACAGGACTCGTTCAGGTGGTTCCTCGCTCGTTCCGAAGCAGTGGCGTAAGGGTAGTTATCCACCAGACCCTCGTAGCCACCCACAGCGATCATGGCTGTGGGTTGTACTTGTGTAAGGCAAAAGTAAAGGGGGATTTTTGCGTGTGTATTTTGTAAGTACATGTCCGATGAACTTGTGAACTGTTCTGTGTGAACTATGAATAATATGAGAAGTCTTACGTATGTGTTTGTGATAGGCATTCCTTTTTAAACCACAGTAAGTCCGATAAATGCTCGCAAGAATGAAGGTGTATATATAATGAGATTCATACACATTATATGAAACGTGACACCTATGAGGGTATGAGTTAGTTACATTTGCTTGATGTATGTAAATCCTCACATATGACTTATGGCAAAAATACAGGTCATACCCAATGTAATACATGTTTATTTATTTGTATTAACACATAGATGGCTCTACAAGTGCTTAGTCACCAAGGAGTCGTTTATTAGCCCTACGTATCTCACCTGTTTATCCTTTTCCTTGACTTTTGGAAAAGGTCTTTTGCATTACTTCATTGTCTTAAATGTTATCGAGATTTTAATAACAGTTTAATAATCACAACATCAATAACAATAGTAACAGTATCGATATCAACTATATTAAAAAGAAAAACACATTTTCCCGCCAATACAAGGAATGGGGAAATCAGGATCAGTCACTAGGACTACTGATAGACTCCTTGCTGGCTGAGCACATGTGGAGCCATCTGTATGTAACAACATTCACAAAAAAATACAGGGGAAAGAACATAAATCCGGGGCGAATGGGTTAACATCCACCAACTTAAACTAAATCACCACATCAAACATAGTTCCATCATGACACAAAACACGAGCCATGCTGATATTCCTACCTGCAGTACATTAAATGAGCAAACTGTAGGAACTCTCGCAAGACTCGCAAAAGAAAACGGAAAAGCTCACAACGAGAAAGGGGGAACTGACCTTTTACCATAAGGACTAAGGCCCCAAGGACCATTAGCACCGTCTGAACAAGGTCGGTCCACACGACGGCCGTCAGTCCACCTGCCACCGTGAAAAGTGCAGCGATTCCTAGCAGAATCAGGATGCTTATGTACAGCCATTCTTCGGAGCTTTTGTTCAGAGACATCTGCATGAAGAGCGCCCCGGCGTACAGGTCGGCCTTTCAGGACACAGGGATTATGCAGAGCAATTAAAAGGTTAGTCTACAGCAGCTATATAATTCGGAAATGTATTTCCTGTGCACACACATATATGTGTGTGTGTGTGTATGTGGGCATATGTACATATATATACAAATGTATACGGATAATATATATATATACAGTATACATATATATACAGTATACATATATACATTCATACATTCATTTATTTATTTACCCACTCATATAAGTTCAATAAATTGTATATTCACTTTTTGTTTCTTTGGCTTTCTCATCCGTGCGAAGCCTACTCACCGAGATCTTGGTGAAGACCGCCAGTGCGAGCGAGAGGCAGGACATGTACACGCTGATCCTGTCTCCGCCGAACCTCTGCTTCAGGTAATCCGGCATGGTGTACACGCCCGAACTCAGGTACACTGGGACGAACAGCCATCCCAGGGCCACGAGCAAGTACGATGCCTGCGTGTAGTGAAAAGGTGGAATTTTCAGGATAAATACTTATGATAATGGCTGGACAGGGATCATACTGGAGGAAGTATGAGAAAAATAGTGGAAGGATGGACAGGGGAACACACGCAAGGCACTTCCGCTAGATGGCGTCTTTGTATCTCTTGTTTATTATGTCCTGAAGAAGCAATATAGTACAAAGGCCTTCGGTATATTCCTCCGTTTTCTTATTCATCCCTACGTTGTTTCACATTCACTAATATATGCACAAAAATGAAACAAAACATCCATAGTGATAAAGCACACCATACCCTGACGTTTCGTGTCAGATTCTATTCCTCGTCTGTTTTGCCGTCCAGTGGGAATCCCTTAATACTGTGACTATACTGATTTGCATGATTCTGTAGTAACCCTCCCTACTGCCATCATTTCATCACGATGCTTACCTTATTTATTTTATCTGATATATATGATTTTCAAAATCTTGCATATAAATGATAGTTGTCAGTTCTGAAGCTAAGAAACAGACTTGTTTAGGCGAAATAAAAATACCACTACTGGGAGACAGCGAACTTCCGCAGTGTTGTCTGTTGTTATCCAATATCAATTTATTCTGAGGCGAGGCTAGGAACAATGGGATAACAACTACTGTGACAAATACGACATCCTCTCTCCCTCAAATTAAGCATGTGTTATATATATATATATATATATATATATATATATATATATATATATATATATATATGTATGTATATATATATGTATATATATATATACATATATATATAAATTAACACACATATACATATACATACATAAATATGTGTATATGTATATATATATATATACATATGTATGTGCGTGTGTGTTTGTATTAAGTATATATAAAGTGAGGGAGAAAAAGTGAGAGAGAGAGAGAGAGATAGACACAGAAAGAGAGAGAAAAGAAAAGAAAAGAAAGAGATGATGATGATGAAGATGAAAATGATGAAAATAGCGTTAATAATCAGGGCCATACTCACTCCTTGCTCGTACCCGCCCACTGCAATGCCCGAGGCCGCCCCAGCACCGGCCAGACCAATGAAATGCCCAGATCCAATGTTGCTAGCGAATATAGAAGCTCCAACCTGCCGATACATTGTAAACAGAACGCCACTTTATTAAATTGTGCATATATGCGTGCGTGAAAGAACGTGCATTTACAAACCGTGGAAAAAATGGAATGCATAGGAAAAAAATACTCACTGGTATCCAGGACATGTTACGTGAAGCGAGAAAATATCCGCTGGCGGTGTTGCGCTGTGATCTCCTGGACGCCTGCGGGAGACGATTCTATTAACACTTGGATTTTCTTAAAGAGACTATGTGAACATTTAACTGCAAGGTTTAAAATAAACATGTCTATATTCTACAGTTTATTATTAGGCTTTATCTGCAGCGTCCTTATTAGCATTTTCTTGAAATTCGCTGGCAGAACATTTCAAACGATTGTTAGTTTAAGCCCCGCCCATGCAGTCTTGCCAGACTAACTATGATGGTCGCTATTCAGTTGTTTAAGCTTTATAGTGCCTTTTATTTAATTATGTTTTGGAATTATTTCAATAAGTACAATGTATATTTCCAGCCTCGAGTACTTATAAAAAAAAACAAATTAAATGTAGGGTATATATATTATGCTTATTAAACTCCTATCTATTCCGTCTGCCTGATAACTCGGGCCTCAATGAAGTCATATTCTCCAAAATAATTCACTTGGATTTTGCAATTACCCTCAGAGGCATTTCATCCTAATTTCATCCGTTATCACGTGGTCCTTAATATCTTTACTCATTTTAACTCTTGACAATTCGTACTTTATTTTTTTCTTTCTTTCTTACTCTATTTCTTAATATGAGATATTAATTAATTTTTGAGCTAGGAATAAAAAGAGGATATAAAAATAAGTGCAAAAATATACACCGATAGAGAATGCTTCCTGAACATACAAAACAAATGTACTCCCCCCCCCCTCCTTAGACCTCGCTTCACCTCATTTGGCATTTTCTTTTTATCTCCTTTTACCATGTTCGCCACACTACCTTATCATAATGCTATATGGCCTTTTATTATCAAGTACATTTATTTGTTTTAACTATTAACCATTCTGGGAATTCACAAACATCGCCTTATGAACCAAAAAATTTCTTGCCCCCAAGTGTCACCTTAGAAAATAAAGCGGCAGATTTTTTTTTTTTTCTGTTAATAATATGTGAATACTCCACGTACCGAAAACTGAAGATATTTCATTTGGCTAATAATAATGATAATAATTCACCTGATTTTTTTAAATTTTAAAGCTAAAATGCCATATAAAGAAGGAAAAACTGATTTCCAACTGTTTCCATATGAAAGCAAAGATTAAAAAAACGCTTAGGTGCTGATAAATGTTACGGAAACGTTTCTCGGAGCAAATTAGGTGAACACATGCTCACTTGTTTTTGAAGGGAATTTCTAATCCTACGCATTAAATGACTTGTTAACTGAAATAAACCCGTTTTCTTCGCAGCTCTGACGGTGGACTGTATCAGCGTCATTTATAATTATGAGTATGAGTATCAACAGAGATGATACTATAATTATTAAAATCTGTTATCACCCAAGACATGACTCGCAAATACAGTAAATATATGTGCTTAAAAGGAGCAATAATATTTTTTATTCGTCCCGAGATAAAGGTTCGCACGCTCTGACAGTACATACTTGTCTCCCTTAGATAAACAATGAAACTGCATCAAGGTCGTTTCTTATCGAATATCAGGTTTAGAGCAGAGATGCTTCTACTGTCTCCCACGTGGTGCTCGGTTCGTAATATTGACGAATGCTTCTTACCACGACAGTTTATTCACAGACATTCATATGAAAATATAACGATTATATACGTATATATAAAATCCTTAATATGTAAACGCGAGATTTTATGGAAAAATGGAAAATCAGATTACGATCTATATTAATTCGCCTCTTAATGCTGTTAAACATAACATCCGGCCACAGTCATGGAGACTAGAAAATATTTAAATTCGATTCGAGATTTGTCGAACAAATAATTCATATTACCTAATTTATCAGCAAATTATGTTTCACATTCATGCTTTAGTCTTAGTCTTGGCTATCCACCAGTGAGCAAGCATCACAACAAGTCTGTAAACCGGATAGTTCACTATATCGAGGTTCACTCTGCCCCGCACCTTTTTTGCAACACAAAATTTTCCTATTGTTGAATCCTAACGCTAAGCGGTATACCATCGCAACAAAAACATCGGCGACAGAAATCACGTCATTTAGTTAGATGATATATTTTTTTACATGATTTGAATGTCAGCGGATTATTCCCAATAAATTTAGTGATAAAACAGACCACAATTTGCAACATACAATACCGTTGCTGTTATAATACCGAAGTACTCACCCACACTCCCACCGCCAGGACGATCAAGAAGTAAGCGGCAATCACCAACACGTCAGGCCATTGCAGTTTTGTCGCCTCCTCTTCGTTCTCCATGATTTTTCTTCCTCTCAATTTGAGTCTTCCTTAATTCCTCTTTATCCCCACGTTCCTATACGCCCTTCATTCAATTTCTCCACCGCCTACAGACTCCGGAAATACGGAAATTAGAATAAAGGGTGTCGATTTGGCAATAGCTCATTCACAAAGCCTAGACCAAAGAGCAACGTTCCAGAAAACGTTTACTGTACTCGTGCCAAGAACTAACTGCCTGATTGCAC